GTGGGTTAAAGTTCTGGAGTTTCGAAAACTGATGGAAATTCCTTGAATTCCAGGAGTTCTTAAAGTTTCGGTTGTTCTCGGAGTTTAGGGACGTTTTAAAATTCGTGAAGTGTTAAGTACAACGAAACAGGGCTCAGTTGACTCCGGTGTTCTAGTTGGTTAGAAAGTCTCCATTCTACTGTTGAACTTCATTCAAACCTTCTCGATCCAAATTTTAATTTACAAGTTAGTCTCGTTTAGTTCAGAGTAGCCACTCGATTTAGGAAATTAAATTCCCGGTTTCTTCTATAAACATTCAAATGCTTGGACAGCATTTGTTTTCGAAGATTACTTTACAAAATAAGTAAGATTATGTGGGGCCAATTCTTTACATTCTTTAAATTTGACCATGACCTCAGATTTAAAAAAAATCATGGCTCTTGAATTTGGAATTTGTTTTTAGGATTCTGAAGGGTAGAGAATTATGATGAAAATAACGAATGAAGTGTAAGCATTGGCGTATCTAATGGGGATGTCTAGGGGGTCAGGTCTCCTCCAGAATGATCTAGGCTCTCTAGATAATTTTTTGAAGCTTAATATAATTTAAAAAGTCGGTATTAGAAGCACTGAACAAATCCTGAAGGAAGGGGGGGGGGGGGTTCCGGATTTTCGAAGCACCCTAGGCACCTCCATTTGCTTTAGCTGCGCCAATGTTGTTGATGATAGTTGTAGAGGAAATCTAGGGATAATACTAACGGAACTCTGGAGAGAATTCAAATGGAATTTAACTAGAAATTTAATGTGATTTTGAGATAGGGGAATTTACGTATTCTCGGCAACCTAAGCAGCGACCTTCTTTCTATAGCCCTTTTCTCTAAGGAACGCACACATTTGCAGTATTGGTTTGTTTACAATCTTTTGCTGCCAGCTGCTCTAACAATTTCAGTCGAAAGAATTGTCAAAAACTGTTTTGAAACGCTTTTACAAAGCTCTAATCTTCTCTAGTGAGAGCGAGTATTGTCGGCAACCAGTTTTTCTTCGGTAACCGTTCCATTTGAACTGCATGTAAATCTGCTGTTCTATTATCGGCAACTCGAAATCAGCTACAATTTATAGTGCGTGTGTTTCATTTCAAGAAAATCTTGCTAGATTCCTTTTTCTCAGTGGTAAAAATATAGTCAAATTGAAGCTGAAAGCATAAAGAATCGTTTGCATGCATTCAGCGAAGTGTTTTCGCAAGAAAATCCAGTGAAAATAGTGTTTCAATTTGGGTTGCCGAAAATAGTCTGGCATGCCGAAGCCGTCATTTCCCCTACTTGTATCTCATCAAAATTATAAAGGGAAGTTAAGGTGAGTTTCATGGTAGTTCTCAAGAGGCTATTCCGAGAATTATGATTCGCAACTCGAAAATCCCTATGGCAAACCTGACTAGAAACCTGAAATAACGGCTAATGACTAACTACGGCAGAAAATCTCATAAATATTGATCAATCAATCAATCAATGGGGCATTTTAAGGAGAGCTTTGAATATGGATAGTCATTCCATGGTAATCTAATTCTTAAAATAACTAAAAAGAAATCTTTGCAGAATTTCATGCTAGTTTGAAGATAGCTTCAAGAGAATTCCTAAAAGAATTTATAAGATTTCAAGGAGTTTCCGGGAGGGTTTGGAAAGACATTTTGAGCATAATTCCAAAGAAACTATGAGTAGTGCTCCAAGCAGGGCTGGCAAATGTCATTTTCAATGAAAGATTTCACGCTATATTTACAGAGATACTTCTGTCACTATCATTGGATGAGAAAACGGTGATAGAGATTTTCTTCAAAATACCTCATCGAATTTTCTGTCATGATATAACGTGACAGTGTTGTGATCATCGTAATTACTAGCTCATTTAATGCTATTATAGTTACTTGTACGGAGGAAATCTTAATAATATTTTCACTCTACCGATTACACACGGTTGTTTGCTTAAATTCATCTAAATCATTTCTAACTGCACTGATGTCAAAACCGCATAAGAATTAATCTCACGAGTGCTTGATCATTGAAAAATGACAAGAAAGCTAATGATAGGTTGTTTCGTCTCGTGATAGCGAAATGACCTGTTTTCTCATCGTCACATGACAGTCGTGATTTTTACCAGCTCTGGCTCCAAGAGAATCTAAAAAAAAATCGAAATTAATACTAAGGAGAGTATTCCAAGAGATCCTATTAACGGTATTTTGAGAAGAATTCTGTGGTGAAATCCATGGAAATTTGGAAAGAGTACATTTTCTTATTCTAAATGGCATATCCAAAGATTTGCGAGGAATATTCCAGGCGAATTCCAAATAAAAAAAAATAAGTATTAGCGAGAATCATTAAGAATGCGAAGATAAATTAAGAATGAATTTCAAGAGATTTCTGGGAGGAATTCCTAAACAGTATTATGCACAGAATTACGAGACTGTAATGGTTAAAATTTCTAGGGAATACCGTACAGAAACATAAGAATATTGAGGGAAATCCTGAGTAAGTAAAAGTAGTTCTGAAAACTTTTTGGAATGATCCTCATAAATCCTTAACATTGTATTTGCAAAAATATCCAAAGAGTTCTTTAATAACAATGAATCATATCGTCAGACCATTTTGCATAGAGATGGCGTAATAAAAATCTCCACATATAAATTGAGATAAGTGAGAATAATTGGCTTTCAATGCATATTCAGGTCAATAAAAAGTGAACGATAACCTAAATAAATCAGTCAGAGACTATGTCGTTCAATTTTTTTCCCAGGATATTATTGTTGAACAAGCTACAACTACCAGTCCCAACAGAGCCAATGTGATTTCCCTTTCACAGACTACAAAATATAGTACCATGCTCTGAAATTTATGCAATTAGATTTCCCATCCAGGCGAGCATCCAGGGGCGGAGCTTGGCAAGTATTTTTGTCGTCGAATACGTAAAAAGGAAGGAAAATTAACTCAGAATCATGGTAACATAATTAACTAAATAAATGCCACCATTGAAACCTTTTTAAGATTCGGTGCACAGAAATTCAAGAGCCAGGATTGACAATTCTTAAGATTCTGAAACTTCGATTGAGAACAAATTTCAATATCCTGGTCTTAGAAAACTGTTTGAGATTATGGAGCTAGAACTTTTAGAAAAGTGTAAAAGTAAGGAATATGAGAAAAATCTTCTATGAACGTGCGTTCAATATCCCAGAATTGGAAAAAAAAATTCTAAAATTTGCGACATGAAAAGATTTCTAAGGTTCTAAAATAATCAATTCAAAATGCCAGATTCTGGGACATTACTATTGTTTTATTTCGGACTTAATTTTTGTTATCCTGGAATATGGAAAAGAAAATCAACCATTCAGGTTGTCAAAATAATATCCTGTTACTCCAAAAGGCACAAATCCGTGATTTTGGTTTAAGCACATGACTTAAAAAAAAAACTACAAGGGACAGCCCTATGGGGTTGTCCGCAATGGTGACGTAGGACTGAGTGGTCTTATATAATAAATCTTATTTGTTAACTGTAGCAGGAGCTTTTGTTTTGTGTAGGAATAGGAATTTGAGCGGGGTTCTCTTTGTATATACTCTTTAGTATGATGCGCTTGACATAGATGGCCCACAGAAACTCACGAAGAGCTATTGATTCCGATCAATAGCGGTGCGGCTATGGATGCTCAAGTGGGCTGCAGTTTGCTGCTTGCAAGCAGCCTTTCGTTGTGTACTACAGAACACGCGCTGAAAGTACTGCTACTGCTGCTGATGATGCCGACGACCTGACACCACCACACACGGTGATTGGAACTAAATCCGATCAGCGGTTGAGGCCATCTTTAAGAGCTAGCTGCTTGCGGGGAGCCTCTCGTTGTGTACTGGAGAACACCACCACTCACCACGCGGTGATTGAATAAACACCGTTTGGTGAGACCGGATGGAATTCAACTTTGAAATCTGTGTTAGGGAAATTGCTTTTCGTAGGCAATCCGTGATAATATTAATTATCATAGCAACAGTTGTACATGCGTGCAATTTTCAATAGTGACATTTTGAAAAATGATAATGTCTTAAATTGATGAAAAGATGCGTCGAAATATTTCTGATCGATTGGTGATAAAATTATTGCAATTGGTCCAGGGGCAGCTGAGTTATCAACGTTCCAAATCTTTCATCATTTTGCTACATGTTCCATTTTCGGTTTTCACAAGGTGTACCCCCATATAGAAATCACAGACGTAGTCCTACGTCAAAAGAACTATAATACTCTCAAACATAATCGAATTTGATGAAACATGTTTGAACGTATGTAGATATCCCAAAAAAACACATATTTCATTCAAAGCAGTCCCATCATTACGCATCACGTCGCAGCTAATGGCATTTTTAGATATTCAAATCGCGTACCGAGTTCTCCCGGGTACAGAGCAGCTACCCATTCTCCTGTTTTGCGCTATCTGCCACCTGCGGAAGCACGGTGTGAAATTTCACTCGACGTGGTGCTGCAAGTTTAATTCTCACATACCTACCTGCCTTGCCAACCAACCAACCAACCATCAACGGCATCGGATTAGCTTGACTATGGCTGCGTCGGGGTCGTCGTCGTCGTCGTCGTTGTCGAGTCAAAGCAAGAGTAAACTTAAAATTGCACCCGTCATCATCATTAGCAGCACATCAGTGCTAAAGCAATTGTGTGTGCCTCAGTGCAGTTTGCACGTGCTAATCATACATATATTGTTTTCTGTTTTTTTGTTGTTGAGAAAATAAGGGCAGTAACCGTCACTGCTCAATTCTCCGTGCTTGGGAAAATCGACGGAATTTTACCAGTTGAACCTCATTTTAGTTTAATCGTCCTCCGTTTTTTAGGGTACGAGTGTTCTTAATGGCTGCGTTCATCACCTTTGCTGCGCCAGCCAAAGAACAATAGTTTGCTTTTAACTCTCCACTTTCACATCGCATGTGGCTTTTAGTACTATCGGGAGAGCGCCTGATGTAGATTGCCAAGGTACACATAAATTCTCACAAATATACCACCATTTCGGTAATGTTTCGCACCTTCTGACAATACCAGATGTCGAAGGTTGTGGTCTGCAATGCGGTGAACAAAATTTAATGATTTTCTTATCGTCATTTAAGAACCACATTTTCGTATATGATTTTGAAAGAAATATTGGTAAGCCCAGATGGGATTAATTTTTGGTTAAATTTCTTTGGATAATCGACATTTTTCACTTTCGCACAAGTTGAGACCATTAAGTCGTATATGCACTTTCTGTTCACAATGAGCAACATTCACACCTCCATCAATCTTAGTTAAATTTAAAAAATACACCCCATCGAATGACGTGCCAGTCTCACAGGATCCTTTCAACGGATCCATTCAACGTTGCTCTTTCATCATAAAACTGCCTTCGTCCCTCTCAACGATGGAGAGTTTTCCTTGGAAAAACCACACACTCGTAACGGTCATTAACAGAGACAGCGAGCGCTGCGCTGACTGACGGTGCTTGGAAATGGTTTAATGAAATCTTTTCCATCATAAAAGAACTTTTTTTTTACCAGTGTAGCCGTTCTATCCTATCGTCGTGAATATAGATACTCATGTGAAAGAAGTGCGGATATGTAACGAATTTTGCATTTCCATGCGATTAGACAGTTCGTGTGGATACTTCAGCTGAAATCCGCACATCTATTACATGAGTATTTATAGTTGTGACTAGCAGACCGTCAGTCTGCCGGCGGGACGGATATCCACAAGCTATTCCCTGTGAGCTCCGCGAGAATGGAAAACGGAAGGGCCGTGCCCTTTAAACTATTGTAGATTGTGGGTGGTAGGTGGTAGTCGTTGCGTTTGACTGCTTCCGATATTCGGTTGATGCGCCAAATCGAACCCAGCCGCCATCAGAGTTACAGCTCATTAAACATCGTACTCGAAAGCCTGTAAACCATAGTTGTCCAAAACATGGAAAATTTGGTTGAAATTCAATAGCTTCGACGACAGGTTTTTTCGGCAAAGTATATAATTATGATGTAGAAGAACTGGCAAACTCTATTGTGTTGAAAGATTTTATTCTAGTAAGACAACACCTCGAGCAGAAACATTGGAAAGGAAAATTTTAGGAAATAAATTTCACAGCCTACCGATGGAATGCAATTTAAGGACAAGATTGACGGAATCCTTCTAGAATTCGCGTTTTAGTTATTATTAGGGTGGATCAAAATATCGAGTCCCATTGAATCTCGAAGGGGGCTACGACGGCAAGGTGATAGTTTTCCCGGTTTGATTAAAACAACTAAGTTTAATGAAAAATAATTAAACTTCATTTTTAAAATCTTACTCCTAAAAAATAAACATTGTAGGCACTGATGCTATCCATTACACTAAGCATTAGAAATTAGAATCAGTTTCAATCAAAGCGCTTCATACATATTTCTTTGGCCAATTTTCACCAAGCAGCCAGAATCAACTTTAAAAATGCTAACTGTGACGTCAATAGTGGTCATTTACATGCTTGTTGAACTTTCCACCCCTGCTCGGTCGATACCAACTGTTAGCGGAAAATCCTTTGTACACACTGCAATGTAGTTTGCATGCTCTTTCCGACTTTTGATGCTTTGAAAAAAAAAACTCACCCCCACCCACTCAGGCGCATTGCATTGCTGAAAAGTTTGCCACTTTCCTTCGAGACAATGCATCCATTTGTTCCCCGGACGGCACGGGGTGAATGTTGGCACAAGGGGACCGCGAAAGGGCGCGACGGTAGAATGTTGACTTTGCCACCTTGTCGTCATCGTCAACCATCATACAGTGCTGCACTTTGCAGAACGTCCTGATGTATGCAGTCAGTATGCCACTCGAAGTTCGCGCACTCGGCGAAGACTCGCAGCTCAGAGAAGATGCCATCACACCGCCACTGAAGGGATGTCACTCGTTTGTTATCCTTTCATTTCACGACGAGGTTCGTCTGGGCTCTGCTGAGATGTGTAGGTGCATATGGATGATGGGAAAGTGCTTCGTCACCGTGTGCTATATGATCATCAGACAAATTGAATGCTACACGTGCCAAACGGAGCGAGCGTGCTTTGGGGTACAAATTTCCGAACAAGGGACCGCGTTGTTCGTTGTCGTTTTAGAAATATTAGTCTTTTATGGTAATTTGAATGGCGTAGCTCTGTTCTGTTATAATCGGAGAAGTGTGCTACCGTTTGCAACAACAACAACAACAACAACAACAACAGCAACAATTACAGTCACAGAATTCACTACCTGCTAGAATTGTAATTATGCTTTCATCTCGAACGATGTTAGGAAGCTAATTAAAGTTGTGTGATCGTATTCATAATGAAATTTTCAGAATCGAATTAACGCCATCTTCTTTACATTGGTAATTTCCACTGCAGTGAATCGATTGATCATAACAATTTGTAAGCACACTAGTCGATTCTCTCAGGATGGCTCAAGGAATGAGATTTGAGAATGATTTTCCAAACAATGCTCACATTTATTAAACGCAATCACCTGCATATTACATAGGTTCCTTCACTGCCATTACATTCACATGATGGTAAATTAAATAATCCGAATTATTCGTTAATGCTTCCAGCTGAACGGGATTCGCATTCAGTGCTTTCACAAATTTGTCAATTTCGCCCTTTGTGCGTTTCACACTTCCATTGAATAAGTTGAATTTGATCGTTTGCTTTATTTCAACGGACATCTACGTTTTTTACACGCTACACGCAATGAAACACAGCGTGATTAAAACCGAGAGATAAAACCACTGCCGTGCACAGGGTGGGGCAATTGCCTCGTCTTTTATAAATAAGATTTTGATCTCCATATTTACAAAATTAAGATATAAAATAACTTGATTTCTTGAAAACTTCATTGGAAGTTATGAAGAGCATTGAGTGGGTTGGTTTATTTCCTTTAAATTCCGTTATAATTGCTTATCTTTTGACAGCAATAAGCAATTATAACGGAATTTAAAGGAAATAAACCAACCCACTCATAGCTCTTCATAAAGGGATTCCGTTAAGAGGTTCGACAAATGTAAAGGATTGATTTGAAGGTTAAGTAACTTTATTTCATAAAATTAGGGCACTGAAAACTTTTTATTGCGTCATTGCAGTTGAGATGGTGCCTGAAAATTGAACCACAAAGGTGCATGAAGGGACAAACTTCAATGACATTTTTTTAGTCAAAGCTTAAATGAAATTTTTAAGGTTGAAAAAATTCACCTTTGTGATGGTAAATCGAAGAAAAAGCTTTTTATTGAATATTTCTGGTGTAAAAATATCATCAAGGTGGTGCATGGAGGGACCAATCAAAATGAAATTTGGAAAAATTTAATAACGCTAAAAATTTGGAGGTGCACATTTAACTGATCATTTCTGGTAGAAAGTTCGCTACACTGTGGTGAATGTAGAAGCAAGGTTTATTCATTTTTCTGATCGCATAATTTGCATCGTTCTGATGAATGCAAGCTTCATTGCAAATTTATGGTGGAAAATTGCACCACAAAGGTGCATGGTGAAACAAACTTCCCTGAAAATGTTTGGTGCACCGTTCTGGTGAACGGAGGAGCATTAGAGTGATGCAAATTTTGAAATTTTCGCTCCACAATACTTAAACGATTCCAAATCGGATCCTGACTAACCTCTCAAAATTTGAACCCATTTGGTGAGAAACTGAGATGGCACAAACCATTTGAAGTTTGTATGGGAATTACTATGGTAAAACCAAGATTTTTGTTCATGTCCATCTAATAATTCACCATATCGGTCTGCTTCAAAAACTTTCAACTGTACTTGTAGGAAATTTTCCCAGCTACATTTTTGCTCAATACCACATTTTTATTAAATGCAAGGATCGAAAGTTATCAATGGTTCAATGCGCTGATGTCTTATGATCATGCTCAATCAACTGCTCAGCAGGCAACATTGGTGTTTCTGGGGCATTGAAAAGAACACAAAAATCATGGCTACTATGTCACATTGCAAAATACTGTGTTGCCTACAGAGCAGCTGCTTGGTCATGTCATAAGTTTACCAATCTCTTAAATAATTAATAACTATTTCCTGTCTTGTTTTACATAGAAACGATCTTCAGTAAAGTTATAGCTGATATTAATTTTCTATAAGAATGGCTATCAAACTGTTTCGCAGCTCAATATGGAAAAAGACTAGAAGGCAATGAACAAAAAGTTGAGATTTCCCATAGTAATTTACAAGTAAACTGCAAATGGCTTGTGCGAAGTATGTTTCTAACCAAATGAGTTGTAACTTTGGGAGGCTAATCAGGACCCGATTTGAAACCATTTAAGCACTGTGGAGCGAAAAAGTCAAATTTTGCATCAGTCTAAGGAGCATGCTTTATTGAAAATTTCTGGTGCAAAATTTGCATCGCTCTGATAAATGAAATGAACGGAAAATTTGCACTGGTCTGGTAAATGAAGACACAAGCTTTATTTAAAATTAAGCTATATTGAAAATTTCTGGTGCAAAATCTGTACCGTTCTGGTTAACGGATGGGCAAGCATTTTGAAAATTTTTTGGTCTTAAGTTTGCATCCTTCTGCTGAATAGAGAAACAAACTTTAATAACAATTTCTGGTATAAAATTTGCAGAGAAAATTCTTCTGAAACTTTAGGGGAATTTCAGTTCCAAGTTGTTCTGAGTAAAAAAAAGTTCTAAAATATTCCGAGAAGAACCCCAAGGATATTGAATTCTTGTGATAGTTCCAAAATATTTCTGGGGAGGATTCTAAAAAAATTCTGCGGATAACTTCTAGTGCATCTTGTAGATAGTTCCAAGATAATTTTGAAAAGAATACCGAGAAAATCAAATTGAGAGTGAAAAGGGATTTTAAGCAAAATTTCAAGCGAATTCCGAGGATAATTTTTAGCTCATTCTGTTCCAAGGTGTTCAGAGAGAAAAATCATGAAGAGTTCTATATATAATTCCAGTGGACTTCTGAGAAGAATCTCAAAAGAGCTTTAGGGAGAATTCTGAAAAAAAAATCCGAGAGGAACCTCAAGGATATTGAATTCTGAGGACAATTCCAAAAGATTTCTGCGTATAATTTC